CAATCAAATTGAAGGAGTTCTTTGGCCACAACCCAAATGCCCTTTTATTTTTTATTTTTTTCCAATTTATTGAATGCCCCAAAAATGCAATTTATTGACTTTTCAATATTCCACCATTTCTGCATGCGAATTTCACGTGTTTTTCTTGTTGAGAGATAGATTAAATTGTTGGGAATCTATTTAACATGTACAACGAAAAATTAAAACAATTTTCGATTCTAACCAAGATTCATCTTTGTGTTGAGATAGAAATTGTGATAAAAGTCGTACCTTTTTCTAGATTTGCAAACCCTTTTGCTTTTTCTTTGTTCCAGTAATCTTGATTCGTCATTAATAGCTGTCCAATTGTCCAGCCTACAACGGTGATTCACATAGAGAACAAGATTGGAGAATTAGTGTTTTCTTCTTGTGCTAACAAAAGTAATGAATTCTCTACAGATTTTGAAAACTCTAGTCATATTTATATAAGCCCAAACAAGTTTGGCCTGACCCGATCCAATATTTAATTAACCCATTTAATTAAATTCGGTCCGTAAATTAATTAATCAAATTAATTAATTTAGGCCTATAAATAAGCAACCCAATAAATTAATTTATCCAGCGCTTGTTAAATTAATTAATTGACGAATTACAATCTTCCAGTTCTTCTTTTGTGTGCGATCCATCAGGTTTTCGATCCCGATGCCTAACGACGTGAAATATTATTTTGTTTAATCAAAATTGATAAATTAAAACACCCTTTTAATTTATCACCAATTCACACTCGCCGTCCAAGATTGACATCTAGCAATGTGTCAAAATAATATATGTGACGGGAAATCTCACATGGTATGACAAAATCAAATTCGTTCGTTTACCGTGAAACTATAATCCCTTCGTCAATATGATTAAATCAATCACGTGATATAGAAATGTGTCAATCTCAATTATCAATCATATCTTTCACTCTACTATTAAGTTAATATAAGTCGAAAACTCCTTTTTCAACTTAGAATACACCTTGGCCAAGTATCGACTTAATTGAATGAAATACAGATCATAATCTCTTACAATCTAAGAGTGACGAATCATCTATTGGTCATTCACAACCTTCATACGATTCTTGACATATCCAAACGATGCTGTATTAGCGACCCTTGGCAGAACAACATTCAACACCGTCAAAGCATAAATGTCCTCATATAAGACACTATGACGACTTCAAGTCAAAGGATCAATTCCACTATCGAACATTAGAGATTAACCACTGACATTTAGATAGTTATTCATGTGAAATCTCTCGACGGGTCTCCTATGTTTTGTTCTATAACAAAACATCCACGTGTTCATTCAAGTATCACCACACTTTAACTTATGAGATTTGCTACTTACTTCAAAAATAAGAAATGTCACACATGATGGTTTATCCGTAATAACGATATCTGTATCTCATTATTATTTACGACCACGGACGATTTAAGATTCAATGATATGTAATTTGTATCTCATAATCACAATTTTTTGTGATTAACAAATTACGAAAATTTGAATCTACGGACTCTATTATTTAATTTATTTGTCTGTTAATTAAATAATAGATCTGTCATTAGATTGCATTTATTATATATTAAAAGTATTTATGTCCAAGGTTGATTGGACGTAGGACATAATACTTACATAAATGTCGTGTGTAAACTTCCATACTTTCTCTTATTTACATTTTGGAAGTTATAATGTTGGTTATGGGTGGTGGGAAGTTATTCACAATACAAAAAGTAACTAATTCCTTCAATCCACTTTATTCTACTAGCGTTGGGTCAACTCATATGGGCGACCTACCTATTTCCCACTGTCAATAACAAGTTCTTTCAATCAATCAATCAAATTAGGCATAACGATACTTTAGACGAGCCTCTGAGGAAGAAACTTGCTTTGTTGTGACCATTGTGAAAATTTTGAACATGACAAAGCGAGATGCTATAAAATTGTCGATTAGCCGCCAAACTTGGAAGCAAGTGGCAGCTCAAGCAACAACCAAACCTTCACAACTAGATGAGGACTCTCCATTAACCTATTCAACAAAATCTTTTGTTCAAATTTCTTGTCTCACGACTGAGCAATTCAAGCAACTATTATCATCTTCGAGCAATTTAACTACAACAAATCGTAGAAAATTAGTTCTCTAGTTCACAATGACATTTTACGTATATCAAGACGATCATTAAGTTTGAAATTTTGAAAATGGAATTATTTGAATCATTACCAGCTTGTAAGCGTTCCGAATCTCCTAGACAAGCTGTAAATTATAAAACAGAAATTTGGTCTTCTTTCACTTGAATCCAAGACTTAGTATGTGAATGGCTATAAATTCTTGTTTCCTACTTGCTAAAATTTCATAATCAAATGCTTTTATTAAGAAAAATTGCAAAATTAATCTCTGACTTTTAGTACTTGTCGCAACTTATTCCCCAATCTTTCCAACGAAACAACAATATTAAAATGTTGAGGACCAAGTTGGGACGAGTGATAAAGGTTGCGGACCAACATTAAATGTTCTTTCTATTCCATCTCATTCCATTCCGGGATAGGCTAATAATAATAATCTAAGAACCAATTTGTTTTTCACTTTTTTGTCCCCAATGCAAAAAAAAAATAAAAAAATGAAGTGTGCCTTGTGAAGAAGGAACATTAAAGAGAAACAAGATCTGGCAATGGCAATGGCAATGGCAATGGTGCGAACCAACTTGCTTGGCTCGCGTCAATGGATGGTGTTGGCTCAGATTGAATAAATAATTAAGTAAAAAATTCATAAAAAAAAAAAAAAAATATATATATATATATATATAGAGAGAGAGAGAGAGAGAGAGAGAGAGAGAGAGAGAGAGAGAGAGAGAGAGAATAAAGAAGATACCTTTAAGCTTTCACCCAGTTTTGACCGATTCTGGATTGTATCATTCAGGAAGGGTTAAAAAAATTAGTGCTGACCAGTTTTTGACCTTTTTACGACACGGGTTTTAAATGGTTTAAAAATCAGTGTAGTGTAATTTTGATCAGTTCTTTCAATCCATCAAATCAATCATTTTTGTCATTTTTCATATTATCTTCTAAGTTTTTTCTCAATAAATTAATTATTTACAACAAACATATTTTGTTCAAAACTAACTTATAGATAAAAATACATTAACTAAAAAAATTATTTATAAGCAAAACCATTATACTTATAAGTAAAATATTACTCATATGATAAGAAATCACTTTTATTAAAAGTTATTTATAAAATATAAATTCATTTATAAAATATAAAAACTTACTTATAAATAAAATATTCACTTAAAAACTCTTTAAAACTACAAAATTAACTCATAAATGTAAACTTTACTTATCAGTAAGAAATTCTAATAATTTTAATTAACTTATAAAAAAATTACATTTAAGTAAATTATCACTTATGTGTAAAAAAATTTCATACAAGAAACTAGAAAATGAAAAAATTTCTATGGACATAGAAATAATTTTATTTAAACATAAATAAATTTCAGAACTGTTGAATAATAAACTCACAAGCATAGGTAGGAATGTTTTAAAAACCTCTACTAAAACTAGTCAAAATCGATCCGTTTGTAAACATTCAAACTCGGCACTTTAAAAAACGCTCATAAACTTTACCCCAAAACTCACAATCAAGCCCTTAAATTTTAGATATTAACTTTAAGTAACTTCCTTTGTTAAACAGATAATTAAGAATAATGTTCATCATTAATTATTTGTGATTTTCATAATTTTCTTATTTTACTTTATCTCTTGCACGGTTAAGTAAGGGTGTTTAGGTTTCAAAGTTTTTCTTTGCTTAGGTTTTTATTTAAATGCTTTATTTCATGTGGGTTTTTGTTGGTTGGTTGCTTGTAAAATACTAGTAAAACAATGGAAAATGTTCTTCAATTGCATTTCAAATCTCATATTTATTCTTGTTTACACTTCCATATCATATAATTAGTGGACAAATCATGCTATAAATACAGAAAAAAAAAATTGACAGAAATCTTTGACAGACAACACATGATAGGAATTGATTGAAAGATGAAAAGAGAATAAAGAAAGCAATTCAATGATCTACGATCAAGTCAACATATGTAGAAATTCTGTCAAGAATTTCCTGTACTCATGACTTTTTCCTTAGTGGACACCTTAATCTCATAATTATTTTGCAAAGGACACAGATTTTACTAATGATGCACCACAAGTTTACCACTCTTGATCTGATCCCAAGTTTTAGTAGTAACTTGATATTGAGTTGGTCTTTGTTTAAATTTTTCACTAGCACCGGATTCTTAACCCAACATTTCGATGCTTCTCCATTCTAGCTGCTACCACTCCATTTTTTTTTTTTATATATTTTATTTTTTATTTTTTTGCTTCTTTCGTCTTTAGTGAAACATTGAGGCGACTATTTCATTCTTTCTTGGCTCTAGGACTAAGTACTACCATTTATAATCACGAATGACGACATTACTCTATAATCACCAGTGATGATCGTTAGTTTAGGTGGCAATAGGCTCTAGTGCCTCGTTTTTCAATGAAGTTCCAATGCTACATAGGCCAGTGATTATCACAAGTAGTGATAAATAACACTACTTCTCAACTTATTCGAATCAAGTTCATTGAACAATAAGACAGTGGAAGATCATCACTGATGGTGATAAAAGCGTTATTCCTTGGCTTAAAGCCTAGAGGATTAGGAATTTTTTTTTTCTTTTTATAAAGAATAATGCTATCATGATCATCAGTTTAGATAATAGTGAACCCCTAATTCATACTCCAATGATGGCTACCCATCGCCACCAAAACTAACGATGATCGTTATAACGAGAGATAATATTACCCTAATGTAAAATTGCACTCTTGGTTTTCAACGTGGGGACCTTGTCATGTTTAAGTATTCAACCTATTTTTCACAGGAATACCATTCCCAAACTTGTTAGTCTTGTTACGTGGAAAATAAATACATTTCAAAAGAAACAACGAATGGCATAATGTTCACTAACATCATTTCAAAATTAACAGTCACAGGAAATTTTCCTGTATTATTTGGAGATCTGTTCATTCTTTGTCAATTCCTTCCATATATAAGGATTTTTCTTACACCAAAAATAGGCGCAATGCAACATTACAAACTTACACATTCTATGTCCGATGGTTCAAATTTTTATATTTTCTTCAAACAAAGCAATGTAATTTACAATCTATTGTGATTGTATTGTGAGTTCTCACTTGCATCCTCGGAAGTTCATTCATCTGTGGATGTGCCGTTAGCAACCCAATATTGTTTGACTGCGATCAGTATTTTTTCAGGTACTAAAGGGCCATCCTCATGATCCATCATTTTCGTCTCCCATCGCATGCCTCTAGCAATTTTGCTAACCTTGTTCAAGGCATCGACTTCATCTCGGAAAATGACAGTCCCTTCGGGCCGTAAAATACGATCCATTTCCAAGAGAATATCTTCAAATTCACACCTGTCAACCACATGTTCAACAACTTAGTCTACAGATCTTATAACTATAGTTACTTCAGATGACTTGGCAGAATGATAAAAATCAATTCAAAGCCATACATAGATTACAACAGTGGTAAAAGAAGAAAACCCACTTGCATGTTTGGCTGTTTGGGAAAAAAAAGGGGGGGCAAAAGTTAGTTTTTAAGAAACTTTCCTTTCGAAACATATTTCAATATGTTACTTTTTCTTATTTTTAAATATAAAAGTCACTTATTTCGAAAGTGTCTCTCATGTTACTTCCAAAATAAATAAATCATTTCCAACTTTAACCATTAAACAAGCCTATAGTGCTAGAGTTAGAGTTTGCTTACTTGTCCTGGTACAGACTGAAGAGTCCACTAGCATGAAGTAGATCATACGTCCTTGGGTAAGTAGAGAACCCCTCACACCTGGAAAAAGATTTAAACATTTAAATATCAAATCTGGGATTTTCCTCATATTTTGCATATTGGATTTTCAGTTGAGCATAGAAAATGTGAAGAAGTCTAGTATGTACCAGTCATGATATATGCCAATTAAGCCTCTCTCGTAGATGATACCAAGAGTATTCTGAGCAATAGTCGGCACAACGTTCATTACCCACAGTTTCGATGATTCCAATGCAGCAGCGAAACCTCCAAGGCCAGCATTCATATCCATTATGTTTCGATATCTATTGGTGCCAAATAACTTAATTACCCTTTTGTAAGCATTTACACGTTTCTTCCAAAGTTTGTTATCCTCTTGGTAAGATTCAGGAGTGACTCCAGGAACATTTCCATTAGCTACACGAGGTGGAACTTCATAAAGACGAGCTGGAAACTTCTTCAACTCCCCTCCAGCTACTTGGTTGGCACTCTTCACCTCAGGGAAGGGAGTTACACATCCCTCCATTTTCTTATACCTATCATAATCATTCCCACAAGAATTAAGAAAAACAAAATAAGATTTTAAAGTTCAATAATTTGCAAAAGTTTCACTAGTCATGTACCAACAGTTTCACAAGAATTGTTGGGCAATGAAGGCTAGATTAGCCAAAAATGCTCTACCAGACATGGGAGAGTACAAATGGAAAGCTATCTTAAAACTCTAAGATGCAATTAACTCACCAAACATCATCAGCATCCAATGACTCACAAAACTTTGCAAATTTCCTTTTGCAAGACTTCGTGTTTATTTTTTTCTTCCAGATGGCAAGATCTCCTTTCTCGTACTTTTTCTCCCAGCAAAGGGATTCAGCCAGCTCTTCAATCCTTGATTGCTCAGCCTTCAGGTCCTCTTTTGTCCTTTTCCATGTACGATAATATGTCTTCCAATTGATTGGAGGACCAGACAAGATCCAGTATCCACCAGGTCTAAGCACTCGATCAACTTCCATTAAATAAATGCCACCTATAAATTGAAGAACAGTTTGAACATTCAATGAGTGAATGCAATTGGCTTAAAGATACTTGGTTCCATGCTTAGATACAGGACAAAGGAGATCTAATCTAAATATAATGACCAGATGAAATGATTTTCTTTCCATTCAAGATTTTCATTTTAGAAAATTTTAGCTCTTTTAGGACTGCAGTCTGCACATGAATCTCACTATATTCTAGGAGCTCTTCCACGTTTATTTCAAAAACTAGTATGGAACTAATTTGAAGTTGTAAATTAGGATATTGGATTTACATAAAATGGATGAAGATATAATTTCACAGCAAAAGGTTCCTATTCAAAATATAGTAAGTTTAAACCAAGAATTGTATTATATAAGATGCAAGAATGTAACCTAGGAAGAAGTATGTAAAACTATGAAACCAGTAAGAGAACCCTGATAGATTTCACTTTGGCATGCTAATTCACATTATAAGAGTGATAATTTTCTTAGTGAAATTGGTCACAAACTATTCAAAACATCATATATTATCTCATTTTTTCCAGTCTACCTCACATGTTAAGTATTGAACACACGAGGTGAAGCAAGATTTAATTAGCTTCATTCATAAATGCTACTTCTACTACATACCATCAGCTGTCCATGGTATCAGGCACCGTGAACACTGTGCCACATCAAATGCCCTTGATGGGAATGCAAGTTTTATTGATCCAAGAACCCCAATAATAGCGGGTACACCTCGCTCCAATGCAAATTGCACCTGTGCCTCATGATTGTCCCTTGGTGCAAATGACATTGTGAGTACATTTCTCTTCAGCATGTAAGCCCCCCAGCTTGCAACCTTATCATGATCAGTGTAACTAGTTCAGAAGGACGAGAATAGCTTCAACTTGTAAGATTTAATACTTTACCAGATTTTGCCCAAAACATCCCAATTAGGGTGAGGACTGCTTGATGATTCATAGGACTCTTACAGAGAAAAAACATCAAAACTTTGTCAAGTTACAAAACCCTCATCAAGGTGTGGCAACAGCCAATAAGCATCATTATCTATAAATATATTAATTATAGAGAAGGGGTTTGAGACTATTATGACGTTGATAGAATTCTATCCTTAACTAGTTGCGATAGAGTAACACATTGCAAAAGCAACAAACACAGTCAAAAGTTCCCAAATTTAAAATGAACTAAGAGTAAAGTAAATTTACAGCCTGTTTATTTGACAATTATTATTGTAGAAAAAAATAGTTTCAAATAGTGATTTTTAGAAGAATATGTGGTTTAAAAGAAGGTAAAAGTTTTTGACATGTATAGAATATTTTATTATTTGAATGTAAGGTTGAAAATGATCCTGTAGCAAACCATAAAATAAATTAAGAATTAATCTAGTAGTACATAATGGGGAGTACACCCCCTCACATGGGGTGTGAGGTCCACCGAATAAATATTTTTTATTCGGGTGAATCCCACACCCTATGTGAGAGGGGTGTACATGCTTAGGTACACCTCTATATACCACTAGCACCACCGATAAATTAATGATTGTCAAATAGGCAATTAAAATAGTTCTTAATTGCATGTTCCTAATGTTCTTTCCAGAGACAAAATATATAATGCAAGGTTTAAACGCTGGTTCTACAAGTACGGCACATTTGCTCTAAGTTCCATTTTCTGATCGCAGAATTTGAACCCTGGACGCAAATAAAACCTAAGATGGACAGAAATACAATTCAATAAAACACATTTTTTTCCCTTTAATTCTACTTCCTAAAACAAAGGTGAACATCTCCTTGAATTTCGAATTGATAGTAGACAACTTGAATTATAAATACCCACACTTTGCACTCATACTTGAGTCAATCTAACACAAGATTTAAAATGACTCCTAAACAAAGTACAGCAGATCCAATTAAGCAACTAAATATGTAGCTAATAACATTTTGGGAAAATTGCAGCAGCGTCCCTAATTTTTTCGTTTTTAACAGACTTTATCATAACTTTCATTTTGTGCTAGCGAAGATCCATAACCTTTCATAGATATGCACCTGAGGTCCATCTGGACGGAAACCGTCCAAAACACTGTTAGTTGACCGAGAAAATTCCTTGAACTATTTGTTGCCATGACGGTTTTATTGGATATTGATCCCTTTTTGGACAGTGTTTTGAACTGTTTTATTGGATGTTGATTCTTTAATTTTCCTTGTTAACTAACGGTGTTTTGGACGATTTCCATTCGGTTGGACCACAAGTGAACATTTATGAAAGGTTAGGAACCTCCGCTAGCACAAAATGAATATTAGGGTAAAGTCTGCAAAAAATGAAAATGTTAGGAACCAAGGCTGCAATGTTCCCTAAAATCTTTTAGTACTTTTTAAGCTCTCCCTATGTATTTATTATAGGAAGAGAAATGCTAGTATGCCAATTGAGAAAAAGACAGCAAAGTTCCAAAACTCTTTATTAATAATGCATCAACTTGAGAACTAATATGTCATTCGAGTTAAACGATCTAACCTAAGAAACCACCCATAAATATACAAGCAAGATATTTGATGACGAGTATAGGCAGTTCTGAATTTGAAAGTATATGAGGAAACAAAGAAGAAAAGGACCATACTCCACATCCAGTGTCTAGTGCTGTTCGAATGGAGCCATCAGAAAGTGGAATCACAGTTGCAAGTTCTTTGATATAAGCATCTGCCCCTTGAGGGAACATTGTCCCTCCTCCTGGAAACTTAAACACATTACCTTGAAACTTCACCCAGTTTTGATTAGCCTTCTCAACTGTCAAACTTTTGAAAGGGGCATTAGCATAGTAAACATAGTCACGGCTCTTCGGCCAAGGAAAAGGAATTGTATATCCTTTGGGTGCTGGAATAAGGCAGTGTAATTTTTCTTCTTGTGGTGGACAGTGCCTCTCTCTGTATATCATATTTTCCCTTGGAAAATTCATGGCTCGATCTTGTTCTTGGCAAGGAGTGTAGTCAGTATATCGTACATCACATGGCTCGAAAACTTTGTCCACAGGCTCAGAGGAGTCCGAATTCGGCACATAATTATGATGTGGTTCAAAGTCCAGAGTAGAAACTACATTGCAGTTAAATTGCTGCTTATTCATCTCTATTGCATAACCATCTCCCTTTCCAAAACCACTTCTTTGCCATACACCCAGTAAGTAAAAGAAACAGCACAGACCAAGTACTATGAATATAGACACTGGACTTCTTCCTCTACTGCTTGACAGGTGATGCTTTGAAGCCATATGAGCTCAGGATCGCATCCAGAAGTTATCTATAATGCATGACAATAGCACGCAGCATCAGTAATTGTAAGAAAGAAGGAACATGTAATTTAATCAAGCAAAGCAAATATATCAGTCAGACTTTCTGGGAGATTATCACTGTAGTCAACTATAATATATAAATCGAGACTGGATCAGAGAGAGCTAGAGAGAGAGAGAGACTGAGACTGAGACTGAAAATATGAATTATTTGATTTTGACCTCACTAAAACTCCAAAGGACGTGTCCAAACAAGGTCTGTTTCTAATGAAAAGCTTAATAAAACTTTTAGAAAGAAGACAAAATACATAGAAAAAGAGCTCACTAAAATTGAACAAAGAAATTGTATAATCATTGAGTTAGCCATCAGTTACTAATTCTAATTCTGTCGAGATAATAATTGCTTAAGGGTAATCCTTCAATTAAAGAAATAGAATCATGTGGCACCTTAAGACTCCTTTTTTATAAGTACTTGGCATTAGGTGAAATGCCTAAATTCTTAGAAGCAATTATTTTTTCTTGCTTAAGTGAAGCAAGGCCTTTATATCTTGATACGCGTCCAGTTTATGCAGAACTTGGGCGGATTGAAATGAAAGAAAGACAAAAACTAAAGAAAAGAGTATTTATCAACTAACAGGGTAGACCCTAAAGGTATTACCGCTGAAAAATAAGTGTCTCGTATTGCATATACAGAGTTAAACTATGATGGTTAGTGTAACAAAAGTTACAAACTTTAGTAGAAAGTAAAACCTGTCACAGATGGGCAGCATATGCGCTGCAAATAAAAGGCACGGCTCTAGTATTAAGGTAAAGATATAGCCAATGTTCAAGAGACGCAAATATTTGATCAAGAATGATCCCAAATGTATACACAAAAAATACACAGTTTGATAACAGACAATCAGTTCAATTTCCAAATAAAATTCAGTATTTATTAAAATTTATTGAACCCCACATATAACCATCCTGAATCTTTTTCTACAAACAAATGAAAAACAGAGTAACCCCATTTCTCACGTAGCTAGTGTCACAATGAGTGAAGTTCTGCAAAAATGTCCTTATGAAACGCATTCAATTCAAACTACTAACTTCGAGATCCAATATGATATTAGTTCAATGTGAAATTTACATTGAGTTACACACACGCCAAAGAGCACAAGCATAAATATGTATAATCTTATGTGTGTGATACTATTGTTGCATAGATCTTAAGATTTGATATGCATCACTGAACCAAGAAATGATATACAGCACACAAAGTTAAAGGAAGCAAAAGATTCAAGACAATAGCCCATAATTTGTTCAAATATGGAAAATAAATTGAGAATTAACAACAAAGTTAGCAATTTCAACAGATCAAGGAAGGAAAAAAGTTCACAGATAGTATGGAAAGGTCACAATGTCAAAAAAAACAAAATTGCTTATTTTAATCTCTTCGAACACGCGGCCAATGATAATGATTTGCGCAAAGAAGAATGTTTCATTACCTGAAGAACGGAAGCTCGAGCACTTAATGGCTGCAGCACCACTAAGCAAAGCTGATCTAATTTAAGCTTTTTCACAAACAGATTGGCTCCCTGCTTTTGAAAACTCTATGAGAATCTGTAAATATGCAAAGATTAAACTGGGCAGGAAACTGAGAACCAGAGAATTTATATATGCTGTGAGAAAGAAAGAGCTGAATCTGGAGGTAGTGATTTAGTGGGACTCTGGTCCGAATGAGTTTGGATTTTCTGGGGGTCTTTTTCGAGTTAATTGCTCCTATAGTCACTGAACTTAGTTTCATATCTTTAATTGGTCATTGAAATTTAAAATATCAAATTTTGATCACTAAACTTAGGTCTATATCTTCAATTACTTACTAAAATTTAAAATGTTAAATTTTGGTCACTGAACTTCAAAAAATGTTATACATTACCCAATGAACTTTGGAAAATATTGTATATTACTCATTTAATTTTGAAAAATATTTTATATTACTCACTATAAATTCGATAATTTTTAAAATTCAACAGTTATGCTAATGAGTAACGTATGGCATATTTCAAAGTTCATCAAAACTCGATATTTTAAATTTCAGGGAGCAATTTAAGATATGGACTTAAATTCAGTAAGTAATCGAAGATATTGACCTAAGTTTAGTGACCAAAATTAGACATTTTAAACTCCAGTGACCAATCAAAAATATGGATCAAAGTTTAGCGGCCATTGGAACAATTAACTCTTTTTCAAGAAATTTGCAATATTGATCCCCAAGCAAATTAATATCAAACCCCTTCAACTTCATTATGTAGTTTAGTAGTTGTAACGTCAGTCCGTTTTTAACTATGGAAACAAAGCCAAATCTTTGTTATATCATCCTGTTTCATCTTTGTTAGGTCCATTTCCAAAAAAAAAAAAAAATTTAATAAATAATAATAATAATAATAATAATAATAATAAAGAAAAAAAATGAAAAGAAGCATGGTTGTGTGACGATGACCTGATTATATAAAAAGAATTTCTTTATTTCTATATTTAAAAATTGGACCGATTCGATGGGTTTGATCAATAATTTGATGGACCAGAACCGTTGCGAACCATGTTGCCAAAGAACTGGTCAGGGGTCGAAAAGAACCGGTCAAAATTTGATTGAATCGGATAAGTTGGGTGACTTTTAGATCGATCTAATTTTTTGATCAATTTTTTTCTTGAGTTGAAAAATGGTACATCGAACTAGAGACCTTTAAATTAAGGTATACTTCCATTAGGTTTGTGTGTGGAATTAATAGAATTGTGACTCAAACTTTATAAAACTATTATCATATTATTATATACCCCCATTTATTTAAAAAATAAAAAATAGATATCCTACTATTGATTTTACCAACACATTTTTAACTTGTGATGTGGTGAATATTGCACCTATTTTATTAATCATTCATTTTTTAGATATATGTTTATTTAAATTTGAGTTTAACAATGACTTATCGATTGAATCAGTAGCTTGGTAACGTGATTCCATAATTAAGTCAATAGTCGAGTCGAGTCGAGTCTAATAACTATAACTGATTGTGAGATAACTTCAATTTTCCCATTTATAAAATAAATAAATAAATAAAAATTGAAAAGTAAAGTAAGGGACCAATGGTACAATTTTTACATTTATATTTCGCTTATTGGTAGATTAATTGACCACTAAAAAATCGGTGGATGTGAGGGTGATGCGATGCCGACGGTGATGGGTACAGAGTGTAAAGAGTGAGAGATGCCCCCACTTGGTCTCTTCTTCTACTTTCCTATAATTAATTTTTTATCTGCCAGAAAAAATGAAATATATTTAGTTATTTTACACACCATTTTCATTTTAATAATAAATTTGAGATCTGAGCAATTTTTTTTTTTTTCATTAATTTAGGTACTTACTAGTCGGAAATTTTGGATCCCATCTTTGTATTTTCATAATATAATATTGTAGGGTAATGCACTTTTGGGAATAGTATGATAAAGTAAACAATCTGTAAATAATAGAAAACGAATCACGTGAACTGTGAGCATATGGTTTTATGTAACTTTTCGTCGAGAAATTTCAAATCCATACTATGAGAGCGAGTGAAATGTACTATGTTTGTAAGTTC